AGAATTCTCAATGACAAGAGCCTAATCAATACAGCAAGACTAGGAGATGTAGACGAGCAGGATATTGAGGAGTTACCACAGGTTTCTGGTGAGAGCCTTACCAATGATGACCTTCAACAACTGGCAGAACAAGGAATTCATGTAGAACTGGAAAATAGTGATTCTAAAAATGAAGAACCCAAAGAATTTCTCTACAGATTTCCTTAGTAAAAGTTTGGTAATGATAACTGAAATCATAGATCAAATTGTAGCAAATGATGCAGATTTTGAAAGAAAGGCTAAAGCAAAATGAGGTGTTTTTGATGCAATCTTCTGCTACCAACATTTGCTTCAGGAAAGAAAAAAAGCAACAAATGAAACTAAGAAATTTTATCGCAAAAAACATGAATTTCAGAAGAGCCAGGACCTTCACAAAAAATGAACTTTAAATTTCTGTGTGCATATGTTTGTGTGTTATTTAACATATGACGGCTATTTTTTAAATAAGGTCCATTTGTGAATGAGAGTGAGAATGATGTGCGATTGCAGCAGTGCATAGGTGCATCTTCTCTGAGCATGCTTTGTGTGTGTTTAGACACCATTTGCAGCCTATTGTTTGTCTGTGTGCTGAACTGTAAAAGTTTATAATGTTTAAGAAAATTGAGTCGCCCACTGACTATGAGATACGATTTGTTATTCAATTCTGAGAGCAAGAAATTTGACAGCAGCGAAAATTCACTGTCAGATTTGTGAAGTTTATGGTGATAATGCTATGACTGACAGTAAAGTTCAAAAGTGTGTAAGAATGTTCAAGGATGGGCAGGTTAATGTGCATAATGAGCTAAGCCCTGACCGACCTCTGATTTCTGAAGATTTGGCGTGTGATGTGGATAACAAAATTCGAGAAGACTAACGATTCATGATTTCAATGTTACCAATTGAATTTCCACAGGTTTCAAGATCAGTTTTGTATACCATTGTTTCGGAGAAACTTAATTATTGAAAATTGTGTTCTTGGTGGGTTCCAAGACTGCTTTCTGACGATCACAAAACAAAAAGATAGGGCAGTGCTTTATCATTTTTGACTCGATACAATCAGGAAGGAGATGAATTGTTGGACCACATCGTTACAGATGAGACTTGGGTGTCTCACATGACGCTTGAGTCCAAGCAGCAGTCACTGGAATGGGACACACATCTTCACCAACCAAAGTGAAAGCCAAACAATCCATTTCAGCATGGAAAATTATGGCAACTGTCTTTTGGGACAGAAAAGGGATTTTGTTAGTGGATATTATGCCAAGAGACACAACAATCAATCTCAAGGTCACACAAAATGCATATTGTGTGACCTTGAGAAAATTCCGACATGCCATACAAAACAAGCAGCATGGTCTGTCTTTCTGTGTGATGTTGCTCCATGACAATGCAAGGCCACATGTTTCTGCACAAACACAAGATCTAATCAGTTCTTTTGGATGGGAACAACTGGATCATCCACATTATACTCCAGACCTTGGATCCAGTAATTTTCGTTTGTTTCGATACTTAAAGGAGTTTTTTGGTAACCAAAGGTTCAACATCGACGAAGAAGTGAAAACTGCAGTCATGGATTCGGCTTTTTCACAGGCGGCAGATTTCTTTGAAGTCAGAATTCAAAAAATTTTTGAGCAGTATGACAAATGTTTAAACAAAAATGGAAATTATGTAGAAAAGTAGATAAAAGTATGTAGAATATGGAAAAAAATATATTTTAATGATATTTACAGTATTTTTCTTCTTATTAAAAAAACGGACCTTATTTAAAAAATAGCTTTTGTATATTATTATGCAAATTAATATAAAAACAAGTTAAAATTAAAATTTGCTTATTTTTGGTCATGTGTTCCCCTTTCCCTATTTACTCTATGTTAAAATGACCTTGTTTAACACCATTTTGTTTAGCGCTTTGTCGTCTAGGAACACATCTCCCGCATTAAGCGGGGTCTTACTGTACTAATATATGTTGGAGAAGAAATATTTTTCATGAAAAATTCATATGTATAAATACAATTGACTTTAGATACTGCAAATCTGTAAAATGTTTCCCTAGTCAATAACATTAAGTTAGTGATAATCAGGTTTGTCAAGAGCTTGTTTGAGGCCCAGAAATAGAGTAGGCCCTTTTGCCATTTTGAACAAATGGAATAGAATGTTTCTTTATTAATAAAACGTGGTCATTTTACACCAAAATTTTATGCATATCACACACAATGTGCTCTATACTTTCTGAAAATAGCATTTATAAAAAGCAGTCTTAAAGATTTTACTTTTGTTAGTAAAAATACATTACTTTTATTGAAGTAGGAATCACTACAGACCCCTAAGTTTCCTCCAAGCCCAGGAAAAATCCCCAACTCCCATCTCTTGACAGCCCCAGCAATACATAAATTATTACATTGTAACATAGGTGCAGTTTGTTTATCTCAGTTTAGCTATGTTAAGATTTTATGTACAAATGTGTTGCATTTAAACTTTTAATTTTACTTAATGTTTTATTACCTCATCCCTTCTGTACTAATTGAGATTTAGTTGTATCACCTTCACAGTGAGAAATATTTATTTATTCTTAGNTATATATATATTCATTTTAATTTTATAAGTTTATCCTTATCCCAACTAATTTATTCAAAGCCTTTTTAGTTAATTTGATAAAATATTGTAGGAAGCAAGATTTTTATTCAATTTCTTTTTAGCAGTGGTGTGCCATCTGTGGAAGCGATGCTTTCCTTATATTTTCTAAAATATAAATACATATTTGCAATTTATTTTCATATTTTAACGTACTTTGAATTAATTAAAAAAATTAATATGACAAATTACAATGGATTCAATTTTGAACATTATAAACTTATATTGGATTATATTAAATTCGAAATGGAATATGTCTATTTCGAATTTCAAATAAATCATATTACAAAGCAAACCTGACAGATACGGCGTTTACGACTTTCTTGATAATCTCCCATTTTAATTTAACACTTGTTTCTTATAAAATAAATGGTAAAGAACATTCACGATCAACGTTTAATTTAAAAAAAGGAAACATTTACAAATAAACACAATTTAAATGAAGCGGTTCAGCCAATTTCGAAGACAAACTACAGTAACGACCTCTGTCGAATAAATATGTAATTAATATAAATACAGTCCGTACGTTTCTATATTCAACAGTTGACTCAACGGTGAGAGAACAACGTTTCTAAATGGACCGTTGAGTTCTCCGTTGAGACTAGTGACGTCAGCGCTGTTTCACCGTTGAGCTCAACGGTCTCAACGACCTGAAAGACCGTTGAGTAGTCAACAAACTAACATGGCGGCTTCCACGAAAAAGTAAATTTCGCTTATAGAAACTATCCATTCGCTGCTGTGGATGCTGTAATAGCGGACAGATTAATGAACAATCTGTATATGATAAAACACGTGATTGCACGATTATGTTGGATAATTTGGTCAATATTGAAATATTAAGATTTTTTCATTTGTCCAAAATTGATTACGACCGATATTTGGCCCGCTAAGTCTTCCTAATGATATAAATATTCAAGAAATTAATTAAAATTATTAATTAAAAAAAGACCCAGTATAAAAAAAAATGATACAGATACGGGTTCATTTGAATAAAAGGATTTATTCGAATAATGGTTAAGCGAGTTACTTTAATTATTTAGCAAAACAGTCACAATCGCCACCTTCTCGTTACTGAAGTCAGCCATCTTGAAAAGCGACCTCTCAACGAAAGCGTTTCTTTTTTCTGCAAAACGTGACGTCAGATCGTTCAACGGAGGGACTCAACGGAAAATTCACTGTTGAGTCAACCGTTGAATATAGAAACGTATGGAGTATCTTGTTATAGAATGTAAGGTTGAGCGATGTCTAAAATTTCGACATCGATGGCTGTGTTACATCGAATGATCGAAATCTCTTAACATTGAAATGTGATTTCACCTCAATCCCGCATCAGTTTACAAATACAGTACTACATTTCTGTTCCAAACAATTTTCAAGCGTTTTTAGAAACATATGCTCATATGCTTAAGTGTTTTTGGAACTTGTCATACACCAATGATGAGGCTTTTAAATTGTAGCGTTAAATTCTGATATCCGATGTATGAAATCCTTTAAAAATATTCGGAAAGATGTTTAAGAAATCATAATGACAAGTATCTGAGTCTTAGCAGTACCCACCAGTGGCCAAGCGGTCTTCGTACTCTGAACACTATGGGTTCGCGCCTCGCTCGGACGGGCTAGCCACATGAAGTTTTCCGCGCTTTCTCCACGTCTGTAAATAGGGGCCAGTTTCCCTTAAAAATGTATGGCCAACAGACGGGTCTGATCCGGCCCGTCTAATGAATTTATGCGGCCCGCGATTAATCTTTCAATATTAGCTACTCAAGTCCGAATAGCTCGATGAAAAACTCTGACGCCTAAAAAAAAGAAGAAAATTTTAACAACTCATTGTGCGTTTAGAATTAACTCTCCATTATAGATCTTTTAAGTACAGCGTAGAATGTTGATAAAGCATGATAATGTGAAAAATGTATCTGTAATCTCTATGTACTGTACAATTTAGTCTCTACAGGGTGACACCATAACAGTAGCGTGCCGTCATTGAAAGCGGTGGATGCGCCGCACCCCTTATATTTTCTAAAAAATAAATACAGTACATATTAATTTTAATATAGATTTGTAATGTAGATAGATAAAAAAATAAATAAAAGAAATAGAAAATTATTAATTTGAATAAAATTAGTTTCCAGGTTACTAAATCAACTTCCCGAATAATCCATTTAAATCTGAATGAAAAATGAAATACAGCATATCAATTAAATTCCACTTAATGAACTTCATGTCGCGCGCTTTGTTATACTGTATATGTCATTGAAACTAAAATAATTGTATTTCTACGTTTATTATAATTTTCCAAAGATTATAATTTATTATTATTAGTTACTTAATTTGTATTAATAATAAATACTAGAAATATAATTCCGCTATCAAAAATAACGACCTTGAATTAATTCAATAAATCATGTATTTTTTTACTATAAACTTTCTCAATCGTCTGTCCGTCGGTTTGGGTAAACAAAAGTAATAATACCATAAACATTCGATCTTTACAATATGAAATTGAAGTTTTATAACTTGATATATATATTATAATACTCTTATTAATATAAATATATATAAAATTTTAATTGGTTTGCTTAAATTTAGATTGATTTAGATGACGTTATTAAATTCGATAAGCTAGGAAGGTTTTTGACGTATATCTCGAGCAATGAATCCAGAAGTAGAGATAATATTAAGTATGACTGGTAAGTAATATGTATGTAATTTATATACAATAACTGTATTTATATGATTATATGTGGGTTGAATAAGTTTGGGTTAATCACAAAAAATGTTTTATTTTAATGAATTGAAATACATAAGGAAAAAACACCAGGATAACACAAAGTAATCCTTTACTACAGAGATCACTTTTACAGCTGAACATGATAATCATTAATCTCGTTTTACAGAAACTAAATATGGTTTTCGTTGCCTGGTAAAGTGGCTTTATTATAGCTGGATAAGCAAGCCGATGACATAGCCCGTTGATTTGGGCACATTGCCTAGTAAATCGGCTTTAATATGGTTTGCTTATCCAGCTGTATTAAAGCCATTTTACTGGACAACATGCTCTTTACTTATCCAAATACAGTAAAGCTGCTATACCTGATAATACAGTCAGAGTATCAATTTCAAAATGAAAGGTAATTTTTTTTACACGTTTCTTGTTATTGAATAATATAAACAAATTATTGTTATTATTAATTAATAATTAAACAATAAATTATTGTATATGCAATTATTACGGTTTTTGGAAAATTATCATTTTTAGCATATCTATAAAAAAAATTTATTTAAAATTTTTACTGTAATATATTATATACAAATGATGTATGAACTTGAAAATAAACTAAGTGCATTATAAAAGATGAATCATCATTGACTTAGTCATATGTTTAAAAGAAAGGTATATTTAATGTAATCGAAAATATGAAAACAATATTGCTATAATATATGTATATTTTGTATATGTACATTTTTTAGAAGTGTAATATACTGACAGAAGAATAGCATTTTAAATTTAATTGATAAGTCAAGTCTAAATATTGATTACAAGTGTTAAAATATCAAAGGTAAATCTTTTGATTTATTCTATGGAAACAAGATAAATTCATAATTCAAAATATTGAAATTATCTTGAATTGTGAAAATTTTAACAAAATTTATGATTTAAGATAATTGATTGTGAATTCATCAATTATTTTGTTGATTCAAAAAATTTTATATTTTGATTTAACATATCATTTATAATTCTGACAATTTTTAAATTTAAAAATTTTTAATTTAAAAATTTTAAATTAATTTTTATATTGAAATACAATAATTTATATGCAATTATTTCAGTTCTTGGAAAATTATCATTTATAATTTAGAATATCTATAAAAAAATTTATTTAAAATTAGTATAGAAATATATAGTAATTTTCAATATTTTAATAATTTAAAATTTTTATTGCCATCTTTCTGTACTGCAGTCTGTACA